TTTAATTATTTTATATAGGTTTGCATACAAAATTCATACACACTGTTTCATTTTTATACATTTTGTTTCACAAAGTCCTCTAACGTAAATTATGCTGCTGACCCAAAATTCTTGCTTCTGTTGCAGTTTGAATCCAGGCTCGAAAGGAGAAAGATGGGCAGTCTCCTTCCATTACAATTTACTACCTTTGATGTTTGATGGAAGGTCTACTATAAGTTAGAACTGACTTGTCAGCAATGAGTGAGCTTATAATACAAAAAATTTTTTCTTTTAACTATGAGACTGTACTTTTTGCTTCTCCAAAATAAACTTAAAAATATGACTTTCTTTTTTAGCTTTTAATTCATGATTAGTTTTCACCTGTGATTTAAATTTCTAAATTTTTCAATTATTTAATCTTTAGGAATCTTGAAGTCTAGGACAGGAGACTTTATTAAAATAGAGAAAAGCAAGATGGGAAGTTCAAAAAAAAGAAGTGAAATAAAGTAGGAAATAGTATTTTCTATTTTAAAGGCTGCAAAGTTAATACTTACTCCCTTTGTTCAACCAAATAAAATATTTGTGCATGGATGGATGCATCACTGAAAAGCAGTCATGGTAAAGTTTGAATTTCAAAGCTTTAGACAGTTTGTAGGAGCTCTCATTAATAAATTTAAGCATTGCATTTTTAAAATCATCAGTATACCACTTCCACTGAACATACATAGAAAGTATTTGAAAAGTAGCTTTGATAAACCTACACTAAGCCACCAGCTGGAGATTCTGAGAGTAATTATAGGATATATGAAAGACTCCATATTGGGGAAAGGTGAGAGGAATTCAGGACTATGATATGTGGCTATCATTTAAGTATTTGTTGCTGTTAAGTGCTGTTGAGTTGAGCATGACTCACTGTGACCCCCTGGTGTTAACTGCATTTGGGAAGAACATTCTCCCTAGTGGAATAGCACTGGTCAGTTTGCTGTACTGAGGTAACTTGTGGTTGCTGTGATGCTGAGCACTGCACCACTGGTGTGTCAAATGCCATAATGGTTACCCATGGTGGACAGTGTTTGGTGGAGCTCCCACATTAAAACAGGCTTTGAAGCAGGATTGGTATCCACTTCCTAAACAACATGCCTTTGGAAATTCTATAAATATTAGAAAAAGTAGGGGGAGCTCTGGTGGCCTAGTGGCAAGAAGCTGTACTGCAATCCCAGAGGAACACGGTTCGAATCCACCAGACGCTCTGCCGGAGAAAGAGGCGCAATATCCTCCTGTACCAGCCAGATCTGATTTGACGGTACACGCACACAAAATAAAAAAAAAATTTAAAAAAAATTAGAAAAAGGATGATAGTTTAGAGTGTTTAGCATTTGGCTATTTTCAGATTCCTGAATGAAACATATGATAAACTTCCATTGCTATTTCTTTAATAAGCTATAAAAACTAACCAATATGAATATTATCATATAGATTATAAATTAAAATAATTATGTATAGTACTGATTTTCCAGTATTCATGCATTTAAATAAGTATATTTATAGAATTTATGGCAAAATTTAGAGCTCTGGTGGGCTACTGGTAAGTAGTTGCACTGCCACTCTAAAGGTACCCAATTTGAATCCACCAGCTGCTCCAAAGCAGAAAGGTGAATAATCCTCTCCAATGTGATTTAATGCTTCTGACTAATAACTGGAGGGTCAGCAATGGGTCACTTCTGACTCAACGGTTCATAACAACAACCACAACCACATAGGCCAAATGGAGGAAATGTAATAATAAACAAGAATCTAAAGTTATTTACCTCAATTTATTTTGAATTTACCTCAATTTATTTGAATATATGTAATCAAAGTATATGCTACATCAACTACTTTGATCATTTAAAATAATGGCTTTAGGAAGAAATGAACATAAAATAATTAGCGTATTCATGTGACGGCTTTTGCTGCACAGGACTAGCACCTAATCCAACCAAATTCTATTTATGTGCAAAAGGAGCTAGATAATATATTCAAAGCCATTTACTTTTCAAAAATTCATTTACATTGTGTTATATACAATCTTTCATTTACATTTTGCTTCACAGTAATTTATATACTTGTATTTTATATAAAGACTATTGATCTATGCCTATTATTACCCTGTCTTTTCAAGTCTCCAATAAATCTTTTCTATACCTTTACCTCCTACCTCCACTTGTCACTAAACTCTGCTATCCTAGTAAGTTCTACCCTTCCCCCTTTTCAATTCCTTTTCTCCTTCCCCATTCCCCTTTAGGACAATTAGGCACATCTTACTAGTTATCCTTCTATTTTTACAAAAATGGTCTTATGCAGCATTTGTCCTTACTAGATTGACCCAGACTAAGGAAAATAATACGAAGGTGAGCACAACTTATAAATAAATACTGAAAAACAAATAGTTACTTACAATGAGCTGTTTCAATCCAACAAAAGACTGTTCTACTGAGTTGGCATTTAATACTTGTCTCTTTGCTGCAGCTTGTTCACCCAGGAAGCGGTGCATTAAATCTTTAACTGCATCTCCCTTAAAAGATTATATAAGAAAAATATGTTAAGACAATAAAAATTCACTCACTTAGCTAAACAGAACCTATGTTGTTGCTATGTGTCATCAAGTCGCCTGTGACTCATAGCGACCCTATGTACATTCACCTTGAATCTGTAACTAATCAAAATTTGTTTTCCCTGCAATTAATTAGAAGTTATACTAGCACAGTTATTAATAAATACATATTTTTAGAATTATTCTTTATTGAAAGAGAGATTAAGCTTTTACTGTCTTGATCAGGTAAGTTTTTTTTACCTTCTTTCTGAGACAAGTCAAAGTTTACAGATCAGACAGATACTCTAATGCAACCTATTTAAACATTTAACATATTTTATGACACTGATTATAATCCCCACATAGTATTAGCATTATTCCCATTCTCGGGGGTTCTTTTGTCCATTTATCTTTCTGACCTCTCCTTTGCTGCGCTTATTCATGGGCAAATGTTACCCTTTTGCTTTTGTCTGTTTGATTGTTCAAAGGACTACTTCCTTGGTATTACCGTTCGCCTAAAAAAAATCTGTCTGTTGTTTGGCTGAAAGTTATGCCATTGAGGCGAGTTCAATTTATGGCTCAACGGGCAAGTAAAGGCTACAGTCTTAGGGGTTCCACCAGTCTGTCAGGAAGGAAGCCTGATCATCTTTAGGCTTTTTGAATTTCAGTTTACATTTATCTCCTATTCTATGGAGAACCCTCTATTATAATTCCTTTCAGAGTAGTCAGCAGCGATCGCCGAGTACCATCCAGGTCTACTAGTCTTGGTCATGGAAGTACAGGTCTGTAAGTTCTATTAGTGTTACAGACTAATTCCCAGGTGGGTTTTTTTTTTTTTATTTTCTTCATTCTTCCTTGCTCCAGACAGAGATGTGTGGCTGCACCTTTCATGGTCTTGAAAAGCTTTTAAGTCTCTAGTCACTATTGGAATGAGGAGTGGCATCCACTTCCTAAATATCATACCTCCAGAAACTCTATGAACTTTGATGGTAAATTATTATAATGAAATGTGCAAAGAGCTTGAGTTAGAAAATCAAAAGGGCCAAACTCGCTTGGCATTTCTTAAGTTGGAAGAACTGAAGAACAAATTTAAGCCTCAAGTTGCAATACTTAAGGATGTTTTGGGCAGAATATTAAATAACCCACAAAGTATTGAAAGAAGATGGAAGGAGTATACAGAGTCACAGTAACAAAAAGAATTGGCTGACACTGAAGAATTTAATGAAACAAGGTATAAACAAGAGCCTGTGATGAAGGAAGAAGTTCAAGTTGCTCTGAAAGAAATGGCAAAAAAACAAGGCTCTAGGAATTTACGGCATACCAATTGACATATTTCAACAGATGCTCTCCTGCATGCATATGTCAGGTTGTGCCAAGAAATCCAAAGGGCAACCACCAGGCCAACTGACTGGAAGAGATCCATATTTATTCCCATTCCAAAGACAGGTGACTGACAGAGTAAAGAAATTATTGAACAGGATCATTTATATCGCATGCAAGATTCTGCTAAAAATTATGCAAAACCAACTAGAATAGCACATCAACAGAACGCTGTTAGATGTGCAGGCTGGGTTTAAAAGCGGTCATAGTACTAGGGATAATACAGCTAATGTCCGGTGGATCTTGGCTGAAAGCAGAGAGTACCAGAGGAATTGTGTTTTATTTGCTAAACAAAAGCATTGGATTTTGTGGATCACAACTACTGTGGCTGATTCTGAGAAGAACAGGAAACCCTGGACACTTGATTGTGTTTATGTGAAATTTATACTTGGACAAGGAGGTAGTCATCAGAACAGAGCAAGAAAACACTGCATGATTCAAAATCCAGAAGGGTGAATGCCAGGGATGTGTCCTATCTCCATATCTGTTCCATCTATATGCAGAACAGACCACCCTGGAGGCTAGGGGTATGAGGAGGAATGTGACATCAGGATTGGCGGAAGACTCACCCGAAGCACTTAGTGCAGAAGGTCAAGGACTGGAGTCTTAAATATAGATCGAATCTGAACATCAAGAAAACAAAGATTTGCACCACTGGGCTGACTGGCAGTATCATGAAGAGACTGAGATTATTAACAGCTTCAGTTTGGAAATGAAAAGATGAATTGTATTGGAAAGTCCGCTGTCAGGGACCTCTTCAGAGAACTGAAGAGCAATGATGTCAGTCTGAAGACTAAGCGTGCCTGATCCAGGCCATGGTCTTCACCATTACTTGCTATGCATCAGAAAGCTGGACAAAGACTAGGGATGATAGAAAGAGAACTGATGCCTTTGAGTGGTGGTGCTGAAGAAGAGTACTGAATATACTATGGACTACTAGGAGAACAAACAGGTTTGCCCTAGAGAAGATGAAACCAGGCTGGTCCTTGGAGGCAAGGATTCAAAACTTTGGGCATTTTGCAAGGAGGGACCAGTCTTTAGAGAGGGATATCATGCTTGGGAGGGTGGAGGGACAGTGTAAAAGAGGAAGATCCTAGATGAGGTGGATTAACTCAGTGACTAGAATAATGGGGTAGGTTTGTCAGAAACTATAAGGTTGGCACAGGATAGAGCAGGGTTCAGAGCTGGTGTACCTAGTGTTGCTATGAGTCCCAAATGACTCAATGGCACATAACAATAAGAACAACAAAGCAAAGAACAAAATTAAGTCGGTAAGATGATGGACTTTACAGAAAGCCCCATTCATTAGTCTGACGTGACACTGCTGGAGAAAAGGGTTCACAATGACCAATAGGATAAAACATGTGAAGGGATAGGACTAAATAGCATTGCTCAAACAGTAGCAATTTACTAACAAGGATTGGCTAGACATAGAAGTCTTTAGGGCTAAGAAAATCAAGTTACCACAGATTTTAGGGGCTGACCTTAATTTCAATGCCAATACTCCCAAGTGCAAAGCAAAATAAAGACTCCCTTCTCCCAATATGTACTTGATAACTTTAGACAGCCTCTTCCTCTGTTTGCCATGATGAGGTCCATATTAACTTTGCAAAAGGAAATTTCTATTTTATAAGCAGACTCGTCAGATTGTATGGATCTATTTTATTGTTATACATTGCTCAATTGTTCTGACTGAAAGACCCTACAGGTAAGAGTAGAACCACTTCATACAGTTTCACAAAGCTGTATATCTTTAGGGAAATGGATTGCCATGCCTTTCTTCTACAGACTGGTGGGTAGCTTCGAACTTTAGACTGGCTAGTAACCAAATGGTTTACCACTGTGTAACCAGGGCACCTTATACTGATTTGTAGCACGGTTTATGATGACTTGGAATGCCCAAGGGGGGAAAAAAATCTCTTTAGCTGCTGTGAAATATGGTATGCTCCACAGAAGGAAACCTAGGTTATTAGCATTTATAAGCTGATTTAATTCCCCACGGTGAAAAGAGAAAGGTAAAACATGTCAGAGCTAGAATTTACCAATTTTAATGACATAGGGGAACAAGGGTCCCATCATGCTAATGCATTAAGAAAGCTGTAACGATCCACAGGCTTAAGCACTATTTTGGTGGCTGCATCACAGGGTTGTAGAAAGAATCCTAAGAATATGGGAAATGCTCTGAAGACTTAATGCGTCTGCATATCAGCGTGAGCATAGTTCACTGAGGCACCGTGCCCACTGCTGAGGGGCTGACCTGCCAAGACGAAGTAGCAATGCATATGCAATGAAACAGTCCTCTTAAAGGTGTTGATGTACAGAGGGGAATTTGTCAGAGTGGCATGAGGACAAAGAGCTGTGACATGAGAAAGCTCTGAAACATCTATCTCCCTTTCAGAGGTGCCAGTGCCCTCGAAAAGGTGCTGGGGTTGAGGAGCAGCTGCTCTGAGGTTACTGAAATGTACTGTGACAGGACTCAGAGGCAGCCCAGAGTCAGCCTGACCTTCCTGTGACATGCAGCTCTCGGCTTCCAGCAGGGCATGTGGGGCGCTGCTCAAGAGCATCCTTGAGGGCTGCTGACAGAGAAATATAAGCACAAAAGCCCCAAGGTCTCCAGAACTCCCTAGTGAGCCTCAGAGAGAACAAAAACTAGGACAACCTCAAGAGGGGGTGGAACAAAGCCTAAATCTCTCCATCTCAGTTAGCAAAAAAACCTGCCTTTTAACCACAGGAAAGCTAATGCCATTACTGCAGGTGGACAACAGGAGAGCTAATGGCGACTGAGGATGAAGGGAAAATCAATGTGGAAATGTCTCCTGCGTAGACTTCACAACTGTCCCAGTTCCCTTCCTATTGTTTTCCTATTCTTGTTGGGGGAAATAAAAAGCATCGAAGTAGGTCCACTTACAAGAAAGGTTATTTCAATCTTTTGCTATTTTCCCAAATGGTGACAGTAGGGAGAAGGAAAAAAAAAGCAATACATATACCATGTTAGCAAGAGATGCAGAAAAGCTGCTGAAATTGTCTGCTTTTCCCCTTTATGCTGACACCCTTCTACTGAGAAAAAGGAGCTGACAGCCTGTGGCAGTAGGGATTCTGGTGGCTTTAGGTCACACATCTATTTCTTCCCCTGGGTGCAAAACTTGATGCTTAAAGAGGCCAAACTACACATCTTCTTCTATTAGGACAAAGATCTAGAAGCAGCAATTTTATAATTTTTGCTCTTAGGGAATAAGGTGAAATACTTCAAATGCCAGAGCCACAAAAACAGCTAACTGATCTAGGAGGGATAATTAAAGGGCAAAATAAAAAGAGCTCAGACATATGGTTCCATAAAGCTTTGCAAGAAAGCAAGTTACATGAGACAAAGAACATTACATTATCTGAGCCAGAGGAGCAGCGAAATAGGCAAAGAGCATAATCAAATCTTAATGCTAGCAAAGGAAGACCCATTTAATTCCTCCATCCTTGCTGCATTCTCAATTAATGAGGCCACATTGCGAAAATCTTCTACTCTTAAAATTCCCTGTTAGTTAACATTTTAGTTACCAAGGAAGTTCCTAAGATAGAAGCATATGGATAGCTAACAAACATTCTGCTTT